CAATTTAGGAACTGCAGGTTCGGATTCCAGCTCCATCTTTGATATTCGGGCACTTTTTGTTGCAGGGGGGTGGATATCAGGGCATCTCTGAACCTTGGTTTCCCATCCACAAAACAGGAGCAGTAAGATCTAATCTGGAGAGTCCATCGGACTTGATTCTGAGCTCACCGTTGCCTCTTACATGCTACGAGACTCTGGGCAAGTTATTTACCTGAGCTTGAAGCAGCCCAGCTAAGGGGCATGGTGCAAGCAAAGGCACAGGAGAGCTACTGTATTGGTTCCCTAGGGCTGCCATACAAGGTGCCACAACACCTTGGTTATTAAACAACAGGGATGTATTGGCTCACACAATATGGAGGCTAGAAGTTCAAGATCAAAGTGTCAGAAGGGTTTGTTCCTGCTGAGGACTCCGGGAGAATCTATGGTATGCCTTTTTCCTAGCTTCTGGTGGCTCGCTGGCCACTGTTGGCTTTCCTCGGCTCCTGCTGTATCACCCTGGTCTCTGCTTTCATCGTCATGTGGCATCCTCTGTGTGTGTCTTCACATTGTCTTCCCTCTGTGTGTGTCTGTCTCTGGGCCCAAATTTCCCCTTTTTATAAGGACACTAGTCATATTGTTTTAGGGCCCACCCTAATGACTTCATTTTAACTTATTTCCGTAAAAACCCAGTTTCCAAATGAGATCACATTCTGTCTTCTTTTGGGCAGGGGGACACAATTCAATCCAAGGAACACAATTCAACCCACAACAGGCACTTTGCATACACTAGTTTTCTTTCCTCGTCAAAGTTCCTTATCAAATAAACACCCTACTTATTACTTGAAATAGAGTAGATGCTCAACCAATATTTGTTGAATACATAAATGCATGGAGGGATCCTAGGTTTCATGGTGTTCTGAGTTCTTCAGAGCTCTCTACTGACCCAAAGAATATTGCCCCTTTTTAAAAAGTGATTTTAAAATTTTCCAACAGGAATATAAAGTTCATAAGAATAGCTTCAGGCAGTTTCAAGAGCTGGTATCTGATTTCTCTCTGAATGTGCTCTATGCTGTTCCTGAGAAATTGCAGGAATGTTTTTCATTACTGGAAAGGCTTTCCTTTTTCACAATGAATTAATTGTCTTAGCGAAGGCTGACAGACTTCCTCCCGTCATTTCCAAAGAGGTTCCAGCAATGAACCGGGGCCGGAAGATAAGAACGTGGCGGGGGGTAATGAGACAGCCGGGCTCCCACAGCTCTCTGTCCCAGACACCCACTGAGTCAGGAAGCTATAAACTGATGGGGGAATGATGGCTCTTCTTAATTCTTCCCCGTTCCGGTCCAGGGACGCACGTACCTTGAGTGCTTATGATGGGCTGGAAATGCTCCTTCTACAGCAAAGTGACTCAAAGTCCACACTCTGGAGTTGGACTTCTGCTCTCTACCCTTGGCCCCGCCATTGCCTCACTGTGGGATCTCCAGTGAGTTGCTGAACCTCTCTGTGCCTCAGCAGCCCTGTTTATAATTTTGGAACAATAATAGTACCTATCCTTACAGCATATGTTGACAACACCCTACACTTGACAACACTTGTGAGAAGTTGACAACACTTCTCACAGTGCATTCCAAACATGTTAGCCGTTATTGTTTTATTATATTTTGCTGACGACACTGCTGATGCTGAGGCTGGTCATGAGGGAGGTGAATTCTAGTGACCTGGCTGTAATAAACTGCCTTCTTGATAAGACTGAATAAAACAAGAGGAGCCTGTTCTCATTATTCTTGTTAGGGCTTTCTAAAACTCAACCCAGCTCTCTCTTCTTGTCTTTTCATTTTTCTGCTTTATCTCTTTATGATCCTAAGCGCTCAGCCATGGATTATTTCATTAATTCCCCCAGCGACCCTCTGAAATATGGATTATAAGCTCTGTTTCATGTTCATGGGTAAGGAACCTGAGACCCAGAGAGGTAAGATGACTTATAAGCGGTGAAGCTAGACTTCATGACAGATCTGTTTGCCTCCAAGGGCACAGATTAGGGAGATGGGTCTGATGGGGAAGAAATTGCTCCCTCCCTCCCACTCCCCGCAATTCTTCTGCATCCTTCAGACCTCCCCTTACAACCTAAGCACAAAGTCTCCACAAGATTGGCCTGCTCTGGACAATGCTCCCACTTTGGACTGGCTTGTCCACCCCATCATCACGGCCAGCTCCCGGCTCACTCTCACACATGGGAACAGGTCCCAGGGAACCCATTCACCCAAGAGGGTCGATAGCACTTCGAATTGTCAGGGAGACCCTAGGAGGTGATGTCCTTCTCAACTTTATGGTGAGCAGATTAAGGCTCAGAGGAGTTCTGTAACTGGTCACATGCTGGGTCAGAACTTAGATTTGAGCCTTGGTCTGCCTCTCTGGTCACTTCCACTCATGCCCTTTCAAAGCTGCCTGTTTCCACTGCTCCCTTGCAGGGTGCCTAGGCTAGTACTGACCTCTGGTGTTCTCTGTCCCCATACTGCAAGGGGCCAGGAGGTCGTTGGGACAGCTGGCCTTCAAAGGTAGTGGTGATAGCAGTGTCAGGATGTCTTTGCTCAGGGGTCAGGGGGCTCACTGGTTGGGGACCATGTGGCAATAGAACTCCCTGCACGGGAGGCTGGGACGGGGTGGTAAGAGTCTGCAGAAAGGCCATCTCATTTGTATCATTGTCTGTTCTTCCTCCTTAGCATAGACAACAGGCCCTGGAATTCTCTGGCCTCTCTGAGTACCTGACCACTGGAATTCGGGGACTCCTGAGCTTAGTTTCCTGTTCTTCCTCGCAAGCCCACGAGTAGGGACCAGCTTTCTGGTGGTTTTGGAACTGCACACAAAGGATGCGGCATGGTGGAGCAGAGAGAGCCCTGGATTAATGCCCCAGTGAGCTCTGAGAGTGGCCGGCTGTGCAACCTGAGGCAGATGAACTTACCGCTCTGATCCCAGTCTCATCAGCAAATGATCTCAACGGTATAGGTTGCTATATAAGTCAGCTTTGGAGGGCTTGGCACACAGTAAGCCCTCAGTAAACATGCAGCCAGCATTATTAACATAGAAATGGTGTTGTCATTAACAACTGAAATCTTAGTGAAGGTCTTCTTGTCGGTGGAGGGTCCAGGAACTAGATGGAATGGGAGTGGTGGTGAGTGGGGAGAGAACATTCTTTCCCTCTCCTATTGGCTCCCATCCCGAAACACACATGCCCAAGGCCAGCTCAGGAAGTGCCAAGCAATTCTTGCCGTTTACTCACCCTGGGGAGGCGAGGTAATCTTCAGGCCCACTTGGGAGTGGCTTAACGGTGTGGGCAGCACACACCCACCTACCCTCACATGTTCTGTCTCAGCAGCAGGAGTCAAGAAGGCCAACAGCGGGGGGGTCACAGAGTTGCCCTGGAAATACTTTGTAAAAAAAAAAAGAAAGGATCCAGACTTCAAGAACAGCTAATGGCATCCTTACTTAGTATTTTGACTCTTCTGTGTGTGAGGGCACAGGGAATGTGAGCCGTGCACACCCATTGTTTGGGGTCCCGGCCTTGCCCTCACCTCCTGGGCGGCAGGGGTGTGAGAAATATTCCAGTTCTACCAGCTCATTTGGGGGAACGTGAAGCTCTGAGAGGCACGACCTTGTTTAAACAACCCAGGGTCGACCCCTGTGCTCCGGTGGCAGAGTTGTCGCCTCTCTCTCTGACAAAGGTCTGGTCACTGTAACGAGTCTCCACGAGGAGGAGGGGGAGGCAGAACAGGACAATGGATTGTGCTCAGTGAGCCCTTCTGAAGTTCCAAGTGTGCTTTCCGATGATGGGGCCTTTGGAAGGAAATAACGCGTCATCTCTCACCCTCTGCTCCCCTGCACCCCACGGGCCCCCTGGCTGAGGCTTGACCTGGGTGGCCGTGGGAGGTCATTCCCTCCAGCAGAAGCCTCCGCTAGGTTACTGAGCAGAAATGACCAAGAAAAGATACCAAAGCCTTTCTGGTGACTGTGATTCTGGGAGTGAGGTGGGAAAGGTGGGGTCATTGGAAAGGACCGCTGCATTTATGAGGCTTCTTATCTTTACGACAAAAGCTCAAATGGGAATCGAGAGGCAATAATAAAGAAAGCAGCACCCAAAAGATTTGGTTCCGGAGCGTGGGCCTGTGCATCAGATGGGCAGCTGGGCCCCATCGGGTGGAAGCCCTTGGAACTCCGAGATTCTCGGTCAAGTCAGCGCCCGGAGACGCTGAGCTGGGAAATCCTGGTGGGGACGCTGGGGGGGGAATTCCAAGACTCGACCGCATCCCCCCCCCCACGCTCGCAGCTCTGCCAACTACATGTGGGGGATCCCTGGCGGCATCAGAAGTGCCACTTCTTCACACAAGTTCTGTCTCCCTCCTTTCTTAGGGAGAAGGAGGACCAGGCAACTCGGTGGCAGACCCAACTGCCAGGCCCTTTGGCGAGGGGGGGGCGGGCACGGGACAGGCAGCATTGGCGGGGAGCACGGGAGGGTTTCCCCTGGGCTCCTATTTCCCAGGAGGGAAAATGCGTAGCAGCCAGAAATATGAACAAATTCCGCCAAACACAAAAACCCAATCCGAAACCAAGCAATAAAATAAAACCAGGTACATAAATTGAAAACAAAAAAAGAGGAGTTTCTGGTTCTATTCATTTTTCAGTAACATTACTATCGCAATACTTTATCAAGGCCCAGAAACACAACCCTGGAGCACTGGAATCAGGGGGACAGGAGCCCCCCCCCCCCCGCCCGGCATCATTCAAGTCATTTGTGCCTGTTCACCACCCCAAACAGTTTAGCTGTGCTGTGCCTGGGGCAGGCATAAGTCTTTCGTCCAAGCACGTAGTTCTAGACCCAAGACAGCCATTCTGGCTTTGGCTTGCAGGTCCGACTGGCATTTCTCCCCCTGCGGGAGCCAGTCTTGCTTCAGGGCCCCTTACCCTGTCCACTGTGAGAATAATGGGACCGCCGAGGCAGAAGGTGCTGCGGGTGCCTGGTCGGCGCGCACTCAGGCAATGGAAGAGATCTCGCTGTGTTTCTGCTCCCTGCAGAAGAGAGTCCTGGGGAAGCCCCGCCAGCCGCCCTGGCCGCTGGGGTGGCAGCAGAAGAGGGTGGACATCAGCAGGGCCAGGGCGATGATGACGGTGAGCGCCCACTGCATGACGCCGGGGTAGATGAAGGGCAGGATGAGGACAACGAGCAAGGCCAGGAGGAGCAGGTGTGCCACCAGGCGCCGGGCTGCCATGCGGTTGACATTTGCCACATCCTGCCCATCCTCTCCTCCCAAGCCGGAGAGGTGTCCTGCTGTCAAGGGGACAGGATTCGCCAGCTCCTGAGGACAGAGCCGCATCTCTGGGCATGGCCGGGCTAGCCGCCCCAACACGGCCTCCTGGTCACGCAGGCTGCAGATGAGGCCCCCGGGGACGGCAGTGGCCTTGCGGCACACCGGGCAGGGGACAGTCCAGGTGTTGTCCTGCACACGCAGCAGGAGCTTCAGGCAGACAGCGCAGAAGGCGTGCTGGCACCCCAGCAGCTTGGGCGGCCGGGCACAGCTGTAGGGCTCCCGGCACACCAGGCACTCCAGGTCATGCTCCGCGAAGCCGCAGTGACCCCCGGGGGGCCCCGCGGTGCCGGTGGTGGCGGACCCCATGGAGACGGGCTGGGGCCGATGCAGGGCTGGCTGCTGTGGGCCCTCGGTGCAGGCCATCCTGGGCACGGGAGCCGACGGGACGTGGCAGCTCAGGGCCTGGGCATGGACAGGCGCTGCTGGCACACAGAGGGAGGCTGGCCTTAGTTAGGTGGGATGCACGAAGCCTCCTGCTCCTTGTTAGGCGCCTGGTGACAGCAGCCGTCTGGCACCACTCTCCTGGGGTGACTCAGCTTGTCTCTGGGCTTGTGTTGTCCCTTCAGTCATTATAATTTCTTTTCTAGAGTTAATCAGTAACTAGCAGGCCTGGAGACTTTGAATTGCCTGATAGAAGGGCCGAAGTGGGCAGGGCCAGTGAGTGAATCAGAACTTTCCTTCTGGGGCCAGGAGCCTCAGAAGTGCCTGCGGGACTGTGGCTTGTGAGTTCAGGATGCACTGGAATCCCTACCACCACCACCAGCCCACCCCTGGGGCCTTTTAACATGCAGCTCTCTGGCCCCAAACCCAGAGACCGATGCAGCAGGGCTGGGTGGGATCTACGAATGCACAGTTCACAAACATTGTCATTCTAATACAGGCGGACCCCACTTTGAGAAACACTGCCATAGGAGGTCTCAGACGAAACCTTTCGGATGTCAGGATTGGTGGGGGGAAAAGTTTGTGCTTTGAACACATTTGTTAACAGGCGGCCCATGACAAAGAGGGAGGGGAAAGTATTCTGAGTAGGAGGGGGCGGGGGGAGTCCAGCCCAACAGTCTATCTACAGTTACTGATTCCCGAGCATCTCAGCAGGACCCTGTTGTGCCCTTCACATACACAGTGATAGGTGCCATCACTGTGTGCTGGGCACATCGCACCAGCTATAGGAACAGCTGCCGCTTGTTTGGCCTACTCTGGGGAGGCCCTATGCCAGGGGGTCCTTTCTGCAGTCCACTGGGACCCGGGGGCAGCGCTGTAAGGAGGTATTGGGGGCCTGGAAGCAGAAAGCAGGCTGGGGCCAGGGCAGGCCTGCTGGCTACCTGCCATGGGGCTTTCCACGGGGGCAGGAATCCACCAGTGCCCAAGGTCGGATTCCCAGCCTCGTGGGCCCAGGAGTGTAATCTCATCAGTTTGTGTGGAGGCAATTAGCTTCCAGGAAGGTGACTCAGGCTAACAGGACTCATGTGGGACTGACAGCTTTCAGCAGCATGGCAGTTAAGAAAACATAATTAATCTGCTTCCCGGCCAGGTAACTCTGTTGGTAAAGCATTGTCCTAGTACCCTTTGGTTGTGGGTTTGAAATCGGTCAGGGCACATACAAGAATCAACCAATGAATGCATAAATAAGTGAAGCAACAAATCAAACTCTCTTTTTCTCTCTCTGTCCCTCCTTCCCTTTACGTTGCCCTAAACGTCAGAGGTGGGTGGGGCGGCACAATCCGCTCCCTCAGACGGTTGTCTCACTCCGGCCACGCTAAATGCAGAAGGACGTGTGGTGTGAGCCTTTGCTGCTCAGGCCGCCTGTTGAGACCCACAGAGTCCAGCTCTTCTGACCTAGCGCTTTCCCCACCCCAAGGCGGGGTACGGTGCCCTCTTGCTTCACCTTCCCCTGGGCCCTCTGTCTCTGAAATCTAATTCCCCACTCCACCCCCACCGTGGCATCTCGGGGTCTCCTCAGCCTTCAGTGTAACAGTCAGTGATTTCTTTCCATTCTGTTTCTCCCCAGATCATGTTAAAGGGGACCTCAGATCGAGCACTGGGCATCCGTTTTGTGCCCATACCAAGCATCCATTTTTCCTTCTACAGTGGCCTGTGTTTTCCCTTTGGGCAACCACTGCTCCCCACTGTCATTCTGTGTGGTTCCTAGCTCTGTGGCGGGGAGGTGATGTGAGTCAGGGCAGATCAATCAACGTATTCCGCCCATTGGCTCCAGCAATCGGTTCAGACATAAGCATGTGATCTAAGCCAAGCCAATGAGATTTAATTCTGGGACTCCTGTTGGAACTACTGAGAAATTTCTCTCCTTGATTTCCAAACTAGAGGACCGAGCTCTGGAGCTTCCAGGACCACTGCATGCAAAGACATTACCCAAGAGTAAGGTTTTTGTATACACACAGGCATACAAAAACAATGAAAAGAGTCAGAAAAGACCTAATGACATTGTTTGAGTGCCTAGATCCAGCCATGCCTGAAGCTAGAGCTCTCTCTTTGTCTTCCTTAGTTCTATTAACCTATACAATACACCCCAATTTTGATTCTGAAGCCAGTACGAGTTGGATTTCTGTCCTTGCAAGGGAAACAGTAACACAGCAACAGATGACAAAGCCTTAACTAGCTGTCTGACACTGGGTTGAACATCGACTAGGCAACCAGCGTGTACTTGGTTAATGGTGAACCAATGTCTCTGTGTTCCTGTGATAAAAGAGACTCTGTTTCTTTTCTCTGCTTTGACTTGCACTATGTAATTCTCCTCTCTGCTTGCTAGGTCCTAGGAAGAATTGGGGAGGGGAGGAGAAACAATTTGTTGAGCTGCATGCATTTATACAGAGAAGTAGAAATTCAGGTGGACAATGCACGGTTGACAGTTTGGCCAGTGCTATTGGAAGCCAAGTTTCAGGGAGGTAGCTGGTGAGGTTGAAATCAGGCCAAGGGCAGTTATTTGGGCTTCGTGTCTAAACCATAACCATTTAAAACTGTTTGAAAAACACAATTAAGAAAATATATTGGTTATAACCATCCAAATGTTACAGGAATATATTCCGTCGAATGCGATCATTTCTTCGAGAAAGTTCCATTCCCTGAGAAATAATGGCTTTTAACAGCGTGATCCTTCATGTGGCTGCCATCATAACTTCTTGGCTTCGGAACCACTTTGTTTCTTAAAGGTGCCTTGGCTTAATTATGGTCTGCACTGGCTTTACTGGTGGCTATCCGGCTCCTGTCGCTTTACTAGCTGGGCGACCTTAGGCGAGTCATTTCCCTTTCATTGAGGCTCAGTTTTAAAATTTGATCAAATGGAAAGATAACAGGGTAGGAAATTAAGGGAGATTACTTAACACCCCACCTCCATGCAAACCTGTTCAGGTGCGGCTCCGTAATTCATGCACCTTGCTTTGTAAGTGACCTTGGTGTAATTGATCCCTTCCAGGAGGGGAGGTAAGACACTTTTGTGATTGTTTATCCAGTGCTTCTTACAGAGCAGTGAATGTGGGCCTGGAGCATAGTCTGAAGCAGGTCTCTATCCACAGGGAGTACAAAGTGTCTCGGAGCCTTAAAATGTTGAATTCATTTAGATGTCTCATTCTAGTCTGGGTTATATTTGTGCTTGCTGTAATGTTAACATTCAGAAACTTAGAGTCCTTCCAAATCTCCAAATAAAACATATTTGTTTTTTAATCTCTGAGCAAATACGCACTCATTAGTTCCCAGTAAAAAAATTTTTCCTTTGAAATGCAGTTTCTTTCATCCTGTGCCTTCAAATACCCCAGGGGTTATAAGGAGTTTGAGAAGCACAGCCCCAAGCAGGGGTAGAATTTCACACCCAGCTGCAAATGGGGAAACTGGAGCCACTTCTCTTGAGATGGACCACCTCGGCGGGCCGGGGCTGGTAACCACAGATCCAAGCCCCACAAAGACACTTTTGATCTGAGATTAGGTCCTGCATCAAGTTCAGTGGGAAAGGAATGAGGGCGCAGCCTTGCCATGAGGTCAAACTGTTGGATCCATGCGTGGCCTCTGATCGGGGCCAGCCCACCCTCACACCCCAGTGGCCGCAGAGGGTCCTGTCCCAGCCAAAGCCCATCTCCCTCTGAGCCTCTCTTCCCCCGGGCTGGCTGGCGTCCCAGCTCACGGCGCATTCCAGAATTTAATTCCTGACCCCTGTGCCCCTCAGACCCCAGCTGGGTACACCTCCGCCCCCCTCCAAGCATCTGCCTGTCTGAGGATGGGCTGGTGGGGCAGACAGAGGAAGGGGATTTGGAACCAAAATGACAACAGGACACTGAAGTTCAAGTATGAAGGGGGTGGGTGGGGTGGGGACGATGCAAGAGAGAAAGTGGCTCACGCACCCCCTGCAGGAAATTGGAAACTGCACTTTGTTTCCTTTTTTTGCATTTGAAGAATAATTATGTAAAAAAAAACCAACCTATGTTTATTGTTAAAAAAGAAAAAACAAGGATTACTGATGATCATACAGAAAAAGACATCAGTGATCAGCGGTCTCACAGCTCACAGAGAACCAGTTCCAACTTTGACATATCCCTCTAGACTTCTTTCTTTGTATATCTACACAACAAATGTTTTCTTCCATTAAAATCAGACCCTGCTACTTATATTTTGGTAATGTGTATTTTTACTTAATAGGTTATCATACATCCTTTTTGCATATTAATAAATATACTTCAAATCATTCATGAAGGTAGTCATATGAATGTACCATATTTTAGCTAAGGAGTTCCTATGAGGGGAACGTTGAGGTTTTTTCCATTTTCCATTGTATTAATAATCCCATGATAAGCATCCTTGGACATGTGCTTTTCATATGTTGCCCTTTCAAAGTTGCAATCTCTGTGTTATCTTCTCTATCTGCCTTTTTGGCTCAGAGCATCTGGTGGTTCGGGTCCCAAACCTGAATCTGTACTGAATTGTTTATGCACCTGATTTAAGGCATGAAGGTTAGAAACTATTGTTAATGAACAACACATGAAACCATTTTTGTCCGACTCAGAATTATCAAAGTACATCTACTCCCAAGGTTATAGAAACCAGATAAGAACGCCCACGGTCCACATTTTTTGAATTCAGATGATTCTAGGGTCTAGATCCATCCCCCACATTCCCCAGCTTTCCTGCCCCTTCCAGCCCCTATGTCTTTGGCCAGCTCTTGTTCAGACTTCAGCTGGAAGCTCATCTGTGACCTACTTCTGACTCTCTTCTGGGACACATCTAGCGTGTCTTTGAGACTCCATTCTCTTAACTGCTCCTCAGCTCCATGCAGCCAAGGCAGTGGGCACAGGGAACCCCAACTTTGCCCCGGACGCAGGCCCCTAGGGGAGCCCACCTGACCCCCACTTGGTGGAGCTGGAGCATCTCACAGGTTGCAAAAGGTTCTTCCCTTCACCCTCTGTAACGTCTTTCCATGTCCTCGAGTTGTTCGGGCTAAGGATGTGTGAGTCCTGGAAAAGAGGAGTTTGAGGAAGAGGTGTTTTTATTTTACCATGACAGTATTAGAAGACTGGAAGTCTGGGCCACATCAGAATCATTGCCTTAAACCGGCCGATGGCTAACTCTAAATGCCTGATTGAGAGAACTTTCATTTGGAGTTCAACTTGGCCATTCTTCTAGATCAGCGATTTTCAACCAGTGCTCTGCAAGAATTTTTAAAACATGCAATACCTGACTATTTAGTTAGGGGCGCCGACCTCTTTTCCCTTAGACTGGCAAATTAAAAAAATGACAACAATCAACACAACAATAGCTGTCTGGTGTGAGTGAATCGAAATTATACCTATTTTTTTTTGGTCAGACCAGCAAAAAATAGATATTTTTTTTTGGTGTGCTACAGAATTTTAGTAATTAGTTTATTTGTGCCATGAGATGAAAAAGGTTGAAAGTCCCTATTCCAGATCAGTGTTTATGAAACAGTGGTCCGTGCTCCTGAAACGTGGCCTCTAGCTCTTGTGAGTTTCTAAAAGACACTCCTGAAAAAACTGGGGGTGTATCGAGAGGAGGGTTCCCTCAACATTGGAGAGTCATCTGGACATTAGAGTGTTAAAAGATCTTGGAAATTTTGAAATTAAAAAAAAGCTTGATTTTGTTCATTCTGATTTTGTCTCAAACTTATGTCCCTGTGAAACCGTTTGTTTCTTTTGGAAGAATTATTAATGATGTGTATAACTCTGGGGTTTTGAGAGTTTGGCAAATGCTGTTGAATCAGGCTACACCATTAGACACTTGCATTTGACTCTGCTTTCTAGAGGTTCTTAAGGGTTGTATTTTGAGGCTATGTTATTGGCTTTCTTCAAAGGATACCCTAAGAAAGAAGATTA